ATAATAATTGATGAAGGTTTTCAATACTTCCTCATTATTGTTTGGAGCTGACATCAGTTAGAGAACCATTGAAAAACCAACTGCGAGTAGTGGACAGCTGTTCCATCTGCCTAGTTTGGGACTCTTCAGCAATACGCATTCAACGAAGGTCTAACCCAGGACCTTCTGGTTATAAGGCGAGTTTTTAGACCATTAAGCCATTGGGACCCGATCCATTGGCCAACTCATGAATTCTAACTTTTGCCAATACATAGCGCGACCAGTGGCTTTATGATCTATGAGCTCGCTTTGTTACCAGAAGGTCTTGGGTACGTAGCCACGCGGCGGGTACGTACTGATGAAGAGTTCCAGACTAGGCTGACGAAACAGCTGTCCAGTAATCCCAGGTTTTCCAATGGTTCTTTGACTGATGTCAGCTCATGATGAAATCCTCCAACCAATCAAACAAAATCGCTACAAAACTAATGCTTCTTCATTATGTCATGAAATCACTGTCGCTACGTTTCCTCCTACTATTATTGTCAAATTCACCAAAATCTGTAAAAGATAAGTTAATTTGTGGAACACATTAAAACTTCAAGAAGTGGTGATTTAAAATGGTGCAATGCTTTTCACATTGAAATCGACTGTTGAAACTCAGAAGTGAAGTTCTCTGAAGTTCTCAGCAAACACAAAAACCTCGAGTAGAAAGCAATGGTAAGATATGCATGTAAGTAGTCAGTTATTTTCAACTTGCAGTCTTCAGCTAATATGTATTAAAACTACGAACTGAACTATTACAATTCATATACAAACACTTTTGAACTAATGATAATTCTCTCTCTAGGATAATTGTAGATACAGACACCCGTTGACACTACAAAGATCCCTTCGATACTTCAAAGCATATAACATGCATCCAACTTAGATGATACCGTCCCCAAAGCCTCTTTTAGAAAGGAGAATATTTATAGCAAAAGAAGAACATCCAAACTCATTGTTAATGTGGATAATTTATGAATGAAGGAATGCATAATCTTGTGAAAAATACAGTTATCCTAAGATCTTAATCGAAGTCTATACTACTCAGAACTTTTCAAAATTAACAGCATTTCAATAATATATTTATTAGTGTGAATATAAATAAACAAACTGTCTTTCGAAATTTCTGAAACGTAGATAAATTAAAATTGTTAGTGAAACTTTCCATCAACAAGGTGGGGCGGAGTCCGTTGTGTAGCAATTTTTACTGTCTTTGATTACGGCTAGCATACAGTATCGTCAAAAATTATAAGATATAAGAATCGCATCCTCTTTCAATCGCTTATTTTAAATGAAGCCCTAGTGTGGTAAGAGCTGTCTGCAAGACAAAATTGTAGACAACAATTTACGTCAGTGTTACTTCCCGAATCGGGGTCATGAGAAAAAACAGTAACAAAGCTTAACCTTGAGGAACTCACCAACTAGTCACAGAAGACTTAACGTGTGCACTAGGCGCTGACCATTAAGCAACTGGTGGTTGACACAGGAAACTTAAGTAGATAAAGTTTGCCAAGGTGAGATCCTCGGGACCTTATGGATCAACAGCTTGCAACTCACTGTAATATCTAGTTTAAAATCATTAAAAACAGGGAAGATAAATTCATACCTTCATGTCTTCCTGATTCTAAGTAATTCTCACAACTCTTCATTTAGTTGTTATCTATTTCAGAATTATGTTGGTCAACTATAGTAGTGGTAGTGTAACGGGAGAAGGTAAAAGATTTGTTGATGGAATGTTTATTTGTAATTTGATATCTCCAGACAGGGGAATTATGTACACCTTATATGGAAATCGTCATTTGCATAGATCTTTCATGTTGTGTTACTTCTGCCCTTCATACTATTTTTCTTTGTCTTCTTTACGTGGCTTTTATGTGTCACCGCAATGATGGTTCATTTCGTCTCCTTGACATCAAGTCTATCTCTCCGCTATTTGATATTTTTGTGGTGTTGAACGTCTGTTTATATATTACTGATAAATCCAATCAGTAGCATACGCCACATTAGTATTCTATCACTGTTCCCTTGTTTCATAAGCTACTTCGGACTGTATCAGATTATTAGTGCTATGGATTTTGTATCATGCTCTACATTCATCTATCATTCAGTCAGTTAACCAGTCATCACATATTAATGTTATTAAAAATATAATGTTCGTCCGAACTTATTCAATGAAATTAATAGTGACAGTATTAGCCTGAAACGCCACAACGTGATGTGTAGAAATATTGAAACACAGAGGAGAAAATTTACTTTAATTTTCATTTCATATTAGTATACTCAAAACTGCTGTTTGCTTAGATAATCTAGAGTACGTTATACGATAGTGGGTGTCACCCCAATTATTTTAATAATGTTTACTTTCCTAATGATAAGAATGGAATATCTGTTGCTTTCATAATCTGTCTATCAAAAACCTTCTTCTAAAACGAGAACATTTTATCAACTATCAGAGGAAAACAAATTACTGTGAATGTACTTCACGAAAAAGATTGCCCAATAGAAACTAGCGTAGCTGTTCAGTCCCAAATATTGATTGAAATTATATCAATAAACTGTGGGATGCAATCACCTAAGCGTTATGAAGACGTAGTGTATTCAGGTTGCATAATGTTATGTGATTCATTTGACAGAAGGCCTGCCTCAATTAAATTTAGTAATTATTAGTACTCATCAACAAGTTATAATTACAGACTTGATGGGTCGGTATAAGCATCGATGGTTCTACAGTAGAAGGCCTGACAACTATTCAACAAGTGGTCCGGGTTAGAGTCCCAACCAACATACTTCTAGACCTCAATTAACCGGTAATAAGCCTGATAAAGAGGGAAACATGGGGGTGAGGATAAAAGAATTTCACGCTGTAGCAAAAAACACAACACTTACTGTAACTTCAGAGCTCAAAATTGAAGCTCTATGTTGGCCGGGAAATACAAAGGAACAGAGAAAAAGACGGCATGTAATAATCAGTGTAAAAAGGACAAACTTTATCAGGGAGTTAGTTACTCTGTATTGTTTTAATTCTACTTAAACTCAATCAGCAGGATAACATTCATATATTTCACAATTTGAGTAAATATAAACTCTGTTCGTCTATTTTTCTCTCCTATTACTCTTTATGTGGCGAGCGCTACTGATACGATTTATCAATAGTATATAAAGAGACGTTCATTAGCATAAAAGCATCAAATGGCATGGAGATAGATTTGATATCAGAGAAAGTAAATGATACAGCGTTGTAGAGATACACGGGAGACGTGGAAGGAACATAAACAAAACACAATATGAAGGCCAAAATTAGCACAGCACGGATGATGTGTCCAAATGGGGCATTGAAGATGAGGTGCACATAATTTAGCTGCATAGAGATACCAATTTCCTAATAAGCATTCCTTTACCAAATCTTCGTCTTCTACCGTTTCATTTGTGTAATGTTAAACTTTGCTTCTTGATATTTAAAATCCGTATACCGCTAATGATCGATCTAGTCAGTAATATTCATTCAATTAAAATGATACCTTACTGTCTGAAGTTTATATGATAAGAATTTTCAGAAAAAAAATGTATTGAAACATAAGATTAACAATCAAGGCTTTTTAAAGTCATTAACTATAACATAATTCATGAACATGTCAATAAGAACCAATGATTAAAAGCAATCTCCAACACACAGTGATATTTTACGAAGGAAGCTTCAATTGAATTATTAGTCATTTCCACTGAATTATACTTAAAATACTAAAGTGATTGGTGATTAGTTCATTACCACATAAGTGGTGAACTGAGGCCAAATATCACATTGGTAATGATGCTGAATACATCACTGGGTGTTATGAACTCGAGCCTCTGGGAAGAAGGACAATCAGCTCCTTAGAAGTTGAAAATACGCCCCACTAACGAGTCTCAATTATCATGAAACTTAAGTTAAGGGCTTCCTACCGGTATTTTTCTTCCATTCTTTTCAACTCTGGAGTGCTACAATGTGTTTGAACTCTTTTAAACAATGTCTGCACACAGTTTCGTTTGTGGGTAATTGGATTATTGCTACATACAAACGGTCTTCAAAAAGAATGGTTATCCACAAAATTTCATCAAAAAGTGTTTAGAGTCGAATCAAAGCACCAACAAAGAACCATCATCAAAGACCACAAGAAAATTCATCCTACCATAAATGAGAAATATCACCGAAAATACCCAGTGAGTCATGAAGAAGAACCCGATCCAATGGACAGCCCATGAATTTCAACTTCTGCCAATTCATGACATGGTGCGACCACTGGCGAATATCATGGCCGACGAGTATTTTTCTTCACACCCGACCTGCAGTACCCCACTGGTCACGACTTCCCACTAGAAGCCAGGTAACTACCTACCTGAATACGGCCAGTTGTCTCCATGACCATCAGGTTGATATTCAAGTGTTGGTTTGCTGGGATTTGATTGGTGGGGCACAGCAGGTTGAGTGTAAGGACAAATAATCGCTAGCGATGACATTCACCAGTGGTCGCACTATATCGTGAATTGGCAGATTCTGGAATTCAAGGGCCATCTAGCCAGGTCGCAGTAGCTTAATGGTCTACAAGCTCGCCTTGTAACCGGAAAGTCCTGGATTGGAACTTCATTAAATGCGCACAGCTGAAGAGTGCCAAACTAAGCTGAAGAAACAGATATGTGGTAATTTTTGCTGGTTTTCCAATGATCCTCTAACCGAAGTCAGTTCATAATGAAATCCAGAATTTAAATTCTTTTCTGAGAAAGATAACTTTTGAAACTGACAAATATTTATATAAATCCATAGGGGTCTTTTTATTTCAAACCTAATTCCTTTTATGAGTACATATTAGCAAATAGTACAAAAAAATAGACTGGTAAAAATCTCACTAGAATTGAACAAAACATTCACATAATCATAAATCAGTTGATTACATAAAAGGGTAAGGCGTTTACAATATGAAATTCAATTCCTAGAGTCAACTTACACTTAATTTCACTGTTTCCACATATGTAGTACCATAGGCTCTTCGTGTAAAATCAGCTAAATCGAACTGTACTTGATTCCATCCATCATCAAGTTTCATTGGCATCATACAAGCAAATGGTTTAACCAGTGTAGCACTTTGACAAGTACTTGCATGAAATCTACGTCTTAGATTTTGATCATCAAGAATCTAACCATAAATAATTTTAATTATTTCATGGATATGCTTTTGCTTACCTGAACTTCAAAAGTAAAATATTTATTCAAATTCTTCAGTACAATAACCAGTATTGGCATTTTAATAGCAAGACTCTTTTTAGGATCACTTGGGCAAGTAATATATGTTGTACTATAAGAAATATTTTTGCAGTAGGTAAGCACAAAAGAAAAATAGAAATGATCTAACCTTATATTTTGCCCTAATATTTCCAGTACATAGGATTGAATTTCTTCATCTGTCATACGACATACACGACCATTGGAAACCTGTGGGCAAGGTAAGTCTACTGTATTATTTAAACGGATAAGCTACATGCTGAGTCCACATTTCCAATGGTTTACTTCCAACACTGTAGAAAACTGATTTAAATTTATTGGAATTAGCTTCTCCAATCATGACTTTAGTGCAATGGATTAGTGTTTATTTATATTATCGTCAATTAGCGGAAATCTGTGATCTCATTGAAAGTGAAGAAATCACCTAGAAAAAGTTATTCAAAACATTGAAATCGAACATATTTCGTTAAAAAATAAAGTACTAATTATCAAACAAGTGGAAAAATAAGCCAGTAATATTTATGAATGGAAATCACTTCGTCAATTATAGCACCTTATAGAGTTTTCATATATAAATAAATTTAAAATACTGCTGCAATACTTTCATAGCCAACACTATTCAGAATGAAAGACTTAATTACCATAATCAATGATTATGGTTCGTTAGGGTTGAGATTAAGATAGGTAACTAACGTCTGACTTCAAACTGTAGGCAACCAAATAAAATATGTAAGCTAGGCATTGAAAAGAACGGTATGACGCTACATATCTGCATGCAAACTGGAGGGGAGGTAGATCTGACAGTTTCATTACCTTATACCATTAAAAGATGTCATTGGATGCACATGTCTTTGAAAGATTTTATTAATAGTGAAACGAAGATTCAATACATAGAGTAAACTAGTGTTGATTTTATAGTGGAACTAACTGACTGACTGGTTTCACCATAGAACTTTGTACATCTGTGCAAAGTCCGAGTTACCACTCCCCATGTAGCACACAAAGGAAGAGAAGAGTGTAAAGAGAGATTCATCAAAAGAAAGATAATAAACAGAAGAACAGTAATAAGGGTGATCAATGGGGTTTTATCGCAAATGACAAACCCCAAAGAGTGAATGCATCTGCACCAGCCATTGAGAACGATTTTGAGCCATATCACCAATTGTCTCCAGGCGACATTGGTTCTTAGCATTCCGAGGACTCCAACCAAGCAGTCAACACCTCCCAGTATGACTGGCTGAAAATAACTGTTGTGGATTTCATTGACTGATGAAACTATGTTTTCGTTTGACCACCACTACCTCTTTTCTAACTTGATCCTATGTCATTCAGCTAAGATTGCCCGTCGAAGAAGGCGACGGCTAGGCATACGTAACACATAGCCTAACCATCTCAGTCAATGCAACTGCTTCATAACCTCGTCTATTGATTTCCCACCCAACACTCGACGCTTAACCTCAATATTGCTCACCTTATTATACCACTTAAGACGGGAGACAGAACGTAGATACCTATGATCAAAGACAGTTAGCCTTTTCATGTCTTTCACTTACAATGGCCATGTGTCACAGCCATACATGAGGACAAAGCGAACTACGTCAAAGTGAAAGAGTCTGTTTAATGAATTTAATTCGCATCATCTCAAAAGCTGACACTGTTAAGCATAACAAAAATTTAATTAGTAGGCAATTATGATATATTACCATTAGAATTTGATGCTTTAGTTATAAAAGGTAAAAAGCTCAATGCAACTGACTTTTACTTTTTCCATATACTGTCAGAATATCATTAAAGTTCTTGCTCCGTAATTCTTTTGTAGGTTAGACAAAAATAAAAGTTGACTGTGTATCAGTTAAAATAAAACATGAAATTGTATCATCAGTTTTAAGTAATCGTTAAACACTTAAGGGACTCGACTCATGATGTACAATTGAAAGTAGTGTTTGTTTGGACATGAACACTTAGTGTACTATTTAAGGATAGTTGCTTTTAGATATAATCACTATCTGATTGTAATTAAGGTATGGTGCTAACAATCCTATCAAAGATAACGAACTGAAAGGAAACTTCTACCCATAGCAGTAGATTCAGAAAGAAACTAAGTTCTTCTTAAATTTGTCCAGGTTGTTGTGGAAACTCATACACAATTCCTAGAATCTGTCATATAGGAGACTGAGTGGATTTTCATGTGCAGCTGCTAAATATTTCCCGGACAAAATCATCCAGAGGATGAAGAAGTACATCTTGATGACATTAAGATGCTAAAAATCTGCTGCAGGCCCTTTAGTGGAACCCACTTGGCAATATACGAGTTTGACGTCCAAGAGTGCGATGGAGGAGTTCATGTTATGAGGAGACGAGAGGTTATGGGCAATCGTGAGGTCAGCAGAAGAGGACTACATGGCACAGAACAAAATCAATTTGTGCTGTTCAGGCTCTATGTTGCACTCGTAAACCTATGGAATGATAAAAAATAATAGTAATAATGAGTGGTGAATATTTTTTAGCCAATACTTAGTAGGCTTCATTAAGAGGTGATATACTACATTGATTTATCAAACCTTTCACCATTGATCTGAGTTTTGTCAATATCTGTTGTAATTAGATATTAAATCATTGTTATGTTTGGAAATCTGCATGAAGTAGTACTAAATTTCATCCACCTAATTTATCATTCTTCTTACTTATTCTTTAACCGTTCCCCTATGCATGCTGTTTTTGCTCTCAGATTTTTTTAATTAAACCTCAAGATGTATCAGTATGAGCAAGAATAATTCTAGTGCAAAGTATATTTGTCAGCAAGTATTTCTATGACTTCATAATTATTGTTCCGCTTAGTTTTGTAAATTAATTTCGGATTATTTGACTCATGTCACAACTGAAATTACAGCTTCTTTTGCCAGGATTATGAAAAGGTTCAGAGGCTCTTTTAATCATATAGTCTATGCTTGACTGCTGAGACAGTTTACTTTGGTCTTGCCTTTCGTTTACATTCTAGATGTATTCTTATATTTTTACTCTCATTTGTGTTTATTTTAGATGATGAACCAGTTTACAAACTCTAAGATTATTTCAAAAATATTTTCACACTCGCAAAATACTTCACATTATATCAAATGCAGAGCATACCTACAAAGACATTTATGTCAAATAAATGAATCAACAAAATGAATCTATATTATCTCGTTAGAAGGAGAATGGTTAACCAAGTTTTAATAGTGATCAAGTCTAAATCTTCTTAATACACTGTAGTCGAATAAGTGGTAAGCCCCTCAGTATTATAACATACAACTAGGTGATTTCTCAGGATGGCATCTTACACAGCCTTATCAACGAAACAGTTATAGCGACAAGAAAATTCATATCAATAGATTAATTACAAAATTCAAGCGATGAAAAACTGAAAAAACACCATGGTGTCTAAATGACACTATTTCAATTACTAATGTTCATTTATATATAATCAATGCCAGAATGATATTAGAGATTAAGAAACGAACACCAAGAATAAGTAGCAGGGCACGGATTTATTTTTATTAGTGCACCAGTTGTCAGTTGCATCAAAAACATAGAATCAGTATTTCAAGTAAAAACACAAAAAACCAAAGCAAGAAAGTTAAATGAACCGTCCGCAGCCAGCGTTTTTCAAAAAGAGCAAGCAGAAATGTCAAAAGTGGTCTTTGAAAAGGGTTTTTATGTCTGAAAAGTGATAAATTTGAAGTGTTTTAGTTTCAGCTTAGACATACGTCCACTTCCTTCTGTTATTTGATGACTGAAACTTACCCTTTTAAATTCAGAAAAAGACAATACATTCTTTATCAGTGTTTAAACATACTCAATCATTCGGCATGCAAATAGAACTAAAAAACAAAAGCAGTAACTACCTCAGAATTCAAATCACGAGGAGTAAAGGCTACACAGCGACCTTGTAACTATGGCACCAAGGCAGTTAAACAACACTGAAATAGTCGACAGGTATTGGAAGCCTTGAAATTCATAGATTTTGAAGAAAAAAAGACCTCAACTCCTCGTTTCATGACTGGACTACGTTGCGTTTGTGTTAATATTACATGACTGTCAGCCGAAAAAGATGAATGTTGCGAGGAGCCTGGCATATCAGAATGAATGAACAAACCACCTTCATATATTATCTCACGTTTCATACCTTTCCCATTTGTAGAACAACTGCCATTCTTGATAAAAGCTAATTGACGATAATATGGTTTTTTTATTTGAATGAGTGAAAATAAGTTGTGCTTAATCAGTGATGTGTGCTGTTGTTTTGCCTTTCGCGTCAAGAAAAAACATACAGTAAAGACTATCACTTTTGACTAATTTGGTCCTTAGATGTAGTGCTTGTCAATAAGTATGTTTCCGCATAAGATGGAAGACTTTGATGGCTGCGCGAAATAGCCGTATGCAAATGCAAGTGTAAAGCCTGCCTAGCTGCCTAAAATACCAGCAGGTACAGTCGGACGTCAGGATGTAGTTTGAGGATTGGAATCTTGACAACGTATCCTCAGATTATTTAGTTAATTTAAACAGTGGAAATCAGCACCAAATGAGTTGTGAACTGACAATTTTGGGGGATTATTTACCTCTATAGTTCTCTTAATATTGCATTCACTGGTCCGGTGTAGGACTTCCGATATACGATACGACTTTGGTGTCGTCAAGAGAAAGGTTTCAGTCGTATACTAACTGTGGAATGTAATGAGAACTAAGCTAATTTTGTCTTCTGCTACTCCATCGCCAAAGCCACTAGTGCAATTATTCAACCAACAAGTAATGTGTGCCCCTGCTTAAGCTCTTATTAAACTTTAAAATTGGGGCTTCTGCTACATGTCGTGGGATTCGTTCGCGAATGTTCGCAGTGGGTGACGCAACAGCACTACTTTTGATACCTTACAGAAGCTAAAATTGATATACACCCCAGGTTTCATACATCTTACAACAAACTATTCATTTCATCATTGTATTTTAAGAGTAATATTCTTGCCTTTTTCAGTTAATTATTCGGTATCGAAAGACATCTAGCTGTTATACTAATATATTACCCAGTGATATTAGTCGTCTTTAATTCAGCCTACCTTCCATCACACTTATTTCTGCAATAGTCCCCACCTTTCTGCTTAACATATTTCGTTCTCAAAATTCAGATGCACACGCATTACTCCCATGAAAACTTAAACATGCTTTTTTCTCCACTCAAGTTATAATAACCAGGAACGTAACTGGTTTGGAACAACTGGCTCATTTTGACTGTGCGGTGCAAATGATGCGTGAGATATTCATTTTTTAGACGTTGTCTAATGTAGTGCCACCGTTTCTTCAAATTGGACC